CCTCGGAGACGCCAAACGAGCATGGGTCGAAGAACTCCACAGCGTCCTCTGGGCATACCGTACTACTCCTCACTCAACTACAGGGGAGACCCCATTTCGCCTCACGTACGGAACCGAGGCCGTAATACCGGTCGAAATCCGCGAACCGTCCAGACGAACGGAAGCTCCCCTAGACACCGACGACAACGACGGCTCCCTCCGAGAAGAGCTCGACCTCGTCGAAGAAATCCGCGCAGGAGCAGCCCTCCGGGAAGCCCGGCTGAAGCAACAAGTAGCACTTCGCCATAACCACAAAGTCATAAAACGCGATTTTCAAACTGGAGACTTAGTTCTACGCAGAAATCAAAAGGACTCCCACGAGGGCAAACTGGCGGCGAACTGGGAAGGCCCATACCGAGTCCGGGACAAAACGGAACACGGGGCCTATTACCTCGAAAACCTGCACGGTGAACAATTAGCTCGACCATGGAACGCCGCGAAGCTTAAGCGGTACTACAGTTAACACATTGCCCGCGACGACCAATCGTCCCGGCCACTAGGGGGGCGACATGGTACCACCGCACACCCCCGCGTCCACCAACGACCAAAGAAAGCAAGCCCTGCCTCTCGTGTGCGCGGGCAGAAGGCCTTGCTCGGCAGGGAATACCTCGACCGAGGCCCCTCGTCGCCGTACCAAAACAGGCAGGACACCCAGCTCGCGATGGGCCGTCCACGCCCCGGGGAAAACTACCCCCGAAAAGGCCCGGCTACATCCCCGGCCAAACCGGCCAGTCCCCTACACTACCGGTAACAAATTGTCGAGCTAAACACACCGAGCGAACACTTAGAAAATCTACAAGAAATGTCATACACATCAAAGGCATTCGAACAAATACGAAAAACGAGCATAAAACAACATGCAAACAACGAGCGCACACTTAGAAAATCCATGATAAATATATTTAACAAAAGCGGGCACCAGCCCAGTAGTCAATAGTACAAAAACGAGCACGCAGGCCCAAAGCAAAAGATAAACACCGGCACGCAGGCCACAAAACAACGAGCACGCAGGCCCGGCAACCTACACTTCCTCATCAGCTCGGTCAGCAGCCACGGTTTCCTCGTCGGGGATAACGAAATAAGGATCGATCACCCTCCCATCAACGATCTCGTGGTACGGCCCTATCCCGTCCACGACCAGCTCGACACCAGGGTTGGCGACCTGAATCTGCTCGACCGCATTCTTGAACCCGACCTCAACGGCTTCCAGACAATCGCTCTCCAACACCCGGATACGGGCGATCAAGTCAGCACGGGTGATTAAACGCCGATCCCCCTCAGTCTCGTCCTCGGCCGGACGAACAGCGCTGTCCAGAACCTCAGTACGAACCTTCAGCGCCTGCACCTCGGCCGTCGCCATCCCCAGCTTCTCTTCCAGCGAACTCACCTTCCCCTCAGCACCCTCTGCTCGTTTCCGCTCCTCGGCAACGTCCTTCTGGCTCGTCTCCAACTCCTCGGTGAGCTTGGCCAACCGCGACTGCGTAAAGGTGAGATCCCCTTGCAGTTTGGACAGCTCAGCAGCAGAGCAGCCCTCCTCGTTCAGCACGAGAGCCGTCGTAAACGTCCGCATCATCGCGGCCAAGTCCTCAGCCAGGACACGCCGACGGGCCTCCCGGTCAGCCTGGCGAACAGCCTTCACCTCCCCGGCGGAAACGGTGGGGGAACGGGCACCATGGAAATACCCCGGGTGCTGGTGGCAGGGAGGGACGACATAACCTTCCTCGACGGCGCCGACCGTCAGATCCACCACCCGAGGCTCCTCGGACCTCTGCCTCTTCGACACTCCTTGGGACACAGGGGATTGGCTCTCTTGAGGCGACGAGGACGAAGTTTGGCCCCCCTGCGTCGCGACCTCCTGACTGACCAGCTGACTCACCCTCGTCCTCGGGACCCCGGCACTCCTGGCAGCACGCAACTGCTTCACCCGCTCGTCGACAGTAGACATGTTCGCTGCAAAAACAAAGAAATAGGTTAGCGACGATCAAAAACCCCGACAACGAGGGAAAACGAAACATCCCTACCTAGATAATCTAGAGCGGCCGCCCCGGTCGCACAGCCGAGCAAAGTCTTAGTATTTATCAAACGCTTTTTAGTGCGTACGTTCCCCTGGGCATCGAGGATGTACCGACCATCGGGCGTCACCAGCTTCGACGGGGGAAGTGACCGCACAAAAGCAATTATTTTCAGATAAGCGGCCATGTCCTTCTCCTCGAGGGTTCCCGCCCGGACGATATACCTATCCGTCCCTCGACTGAAATGCTCCGAGGTCCACAGCAGATGTATCTTGGGAAGCCACGCTCGGAACCACTGGCCATCTACCGTGCGCTCGCCCTCGTCAAAGAGAGTGTCCGAGCCGTGCTGCGTGATCGGTTTGACGAGGTAGAACCGACCCTTGAAGTCTTTGACAGAATCACTGTACGCTTTAAAAATTTTGGTCGATTGTTTGAAAGAGACCCATCCATGACGACCTCGCACCGTCTGCCGCTGCAGATGAAAGATGCGAAAGAACAACGGCACCGTCGGCTCCACCGAGAGGTAGAAACACACCACCTCGAAAGCCCGGATGAAAGCCAGAGCGTTCGGGTGCAGCTGAGACGGGGCAAGACGCAGCCAGTCAAAAATCCCCAGATGGAAGGCAGAGAACGGCAACCGGAGCCGAGCTTCTTTAAAATAAAATTCATACATCGGGAACATCTTCCGCCCATAGCGCGAACAGATCCGATGGTGCGCTTTCGGGCGATACACCTGCCAGTGTTGCGTTTCTCCTAACGGCGTGTCCTCGACCGTGGCATACACGTCGGACGGATCGACCACAAAACAAGAAGGGATGGTAAGTGGCTCCTCGGCCGCCCACTCCTCGGGCAAGGAGACGCGCCCGTCGTCATACTCCGGGACCTCGGGTTCATCATCTTCAACCATTATCCCCGGCACCAGAGCCGACATCTACACCTGAAAGCAGAGGACCTCGGTGAATTCGATAGCCAGGATCAAATCCACCCTTCCACCGCAAGTCAAGTGAAAGGGCGACAAAGGCCGAGGGGCGGCGAGCATTCGCTCCCCGCCTACCCTCCTCGGGGATCGAAGAACGACCCCTCAGCCCTTCGGGGCGGCCGTCGGAGAAGATACTTCTCCCCGGGGCATTCATCGGAGAAAAGCCCCCGTCCTCGGGGCATTCATCAGAAAAAGCCCCCGTCCTCGGGGCATTCATCGGAGAAAAGCCCCCGTCCTCGGGGCATTCATCAGAAAAAGCCCCCGTCCTCGGGGCATTCATCGGAGAAAAGCCCCCGTCCTCGGGGCATTCATCAGAAAAAGCTCCTGTCCCCGGGGCATTCATCGGAACTAGCCTACCGTCCCCGGGACGTTCATCGGAAGACTCGCCAGACGCGGCGGAACTCGCATCCCTCCTCGGGGCGCTCATCGCGCCCCGACCACACGTCCCAGTTAGACGACGAAAATAAAAGAGAGGGAGAAGAGAAACTCACTTGTAACGGCGGCGGACGGAAGAAAAAGCGAATGGCACGGCGTTGATCGGCGGCGAACGGCGGACGGGCAGCGACGATGAAAGATCAACAGGGAGAAAAGTAGCAGAATGAGCGGGGACCGCCATATTTATAACCCGGCGCGAGGCTCGAAGCGACCCTAGGCTCATTAATGACATAGGTTAGCCGCCCCTACGACCGCTCAACGCAAGACACGTGGAAGCAGCCTGACAGTCGCGTCTCTCCATCTGCCTCCTCCCCGTTCTACCGACGACCGGAGCCCTTCGCACGAGTCCCCCGCTCCAGACATGACGACCTTAAGTCCTCGCTCTTCCCCAGAGCTTCGACTTGGGGGGCTCCTGTTCCGGTGTGGGCCTCACCTCGGCAGGCCCAATACCAAATACGGCCCACCAGGCGAACTGAGCATACCTGGCACACGCCCTTCGGACGAGCAGGACCGTCAGCCGGGCACAAGCCATCACCCCGCATCCCCTTCGTCGTCCGTCACACCAGACGAGCGAGACGACCCGGGCTCCCTCCGCGGGAGAATAACGTGCTCGGCGCACGTTCTCCACGTGCTCCCCTCCGCGGGGACACGTCATCGGCCAACCGCCCACCTCCGAAAGAGCAGGTCAAACCCACTTTCCGGAGACCTAGGAGCGGTTGAACTAGGGCGAAGACCACGTCCTGGTCTTCACTACGCCACGTAAGCCCTAGCAGTCATTAGGGTTGGGCCTGGTCGTCTGGCCCACCTCGAATGACCGTTGGCCCAGCGCTGGGGTCTCTCTATAAATACCCTCTTCTTCAAGAGGGTCAGGTAACTCTTCTTGCCCCCCTTTCTGTACTATTGCTCCCTCTCTGTCCAACTTCTTACTTGGGCGTCGGAGTGCTTTGCAGGTACACCCCCTCCTCGTTCTTACCTCGGCAAACAGATAACCGTCCGGCGAAGCGTGGCCAGTCCGTGATCCCTCCTGATCAGGTCAGATCAAAACTAAAATTAATAAATTATTAATAGATCATTAACTTTTACTTTTATATATATTAAGATGATTTTACAAAATTTTATAATAATGAGAAAAGTTATATAAACCTAACTTAGTTGTAAAGAGGCCCTTACTATAGGGTAGAGATGCAATTTTTTTCTTTAATATTTTTCGATTTTTATAATTTTAAAATCAATAAAGGAAACAAAAAAGAAAAAATCACGTAAAATTAAAATAAATAAAAATAATAAATTGTATTAGCATTAATAACCAAATAGAAAAAAATACTAAGTCAGGATGTAATATAAGTGTTTTTCTGAGTTATTTGTCTATAAGTTAGTGATTTTAAGCCTATAAAATATAGGGAGAAAAACAAAAGTCGCTTAAAGTGATATTAACCCTCTATTTTATTCAGAAACAAAGTTTAAATGACATTTTTACCCTAGTATCATTGTTTTTCGAAGTTAAGGTGTTTCCAGTAAACTGAAGAAACTCTCTCATGTCGCTATCTGCCGAAAGGGAAACCCATTCATTTCGCGGTTCTGAAGCTCACAATAATCTTCACCGAATTCTCCAATCATGCCCTAAAGTGAGTTCATTTTTTCAACGTCTATTTTTTTCTGCTCACTGTAAATTTTGATTTTCTGAGATTTCAATTTATTTGAAACTGTTAGGAGTTATGTTAGTGTCGATTTGGAGGTTGATCAATGATGATTATGCAATGCCTTTTGATTTTAGGTTTATTTCACTCATGTAAGTAAAGTTAATAACTTAATCAGGTGCTTATAACATAAGCGCTTATCATGAAGTCAAGCTTTTTCTGATAAGTTGTTTTCATAGGTTATCCAGAAGAACTTATGGAAATTAGCTGAAAATAATTTATTAACATGCCATAAGTCGTTTCTTTAAGTTCTTCTAAACAGTTTTATAAGTGCTTCTATTGCTAGATAAGCTCAAATAAGTCAATACATATAGGGCATTATTGTGCTAAGTAGCAAGACAAAAAAGTTGAAAGGATAAAATTGGATGATTGATTGTCTTGTTAGTTAATTGAAAGGTTATTAGCTTGCTGTTGACAGTGATGATTTTATATATGCTTGGTAGTTAGTCGAAGTTGGAGATTCTAACGAGTATCAAAACACCGTCTCCGAGCTTGTTAATTTCCTTGATTCTTTATTGGATGCTACTCTGTCTGATCCAGACAATGAACATAAAGAGAACAATGCATTTGAAGCTTTGTCTGAGATCCATCAGTACATCTTTTCTTCGTCTCTTGACCAGGTGAGTTAACTCCTTTAGTCATGTTTCATAATCATTTCACTGTCTTATAGTATAGGATGTGTTTGGACACTTGTGAGATTATATGGTAGAGTTAATGCAACCAACTTATGACATGTCCATAAGCTGTTTTCAGCTTATTTCCTTAAGCTTTCCAAGACAGATTATAAAAATAGGCTCAGTGCAGTTTATTTGCTTGTCATAAACTATTTTTATCAGCTGTTTTGACTACACATGTGTCTGTGACATAAGCCCGAATATAATTATTTCAAACTCCCCTATAGTCTTAGATTATAGAAACCAAACAACACAGAGACACGGCGTTATTATTCGGAGCATGACTTCTTTCAATCCCACAGAATTACGTAAGTTCTATTCAAGGGAGTGAGAAAGAGAAAATAAGAGTGTCTTATTGATTATTTGGTGATTTGACAGGAAGTTGTTGATGCTCTTTCCTTTGAACTGCCAAAGGCTGTTTCAAAATTTGCTGGCATTTCAAGAAAGTTTTTGGACATGGCAATTAGCATCATTGATCAGTTTATAGTGAAATGTGGTCCAAGGGATATGCTTTCAATTCTCTGTGATGTAAGTCTATGTCTTTATTTATTTAAATTCCATCCGTTTCATCCTTTTAGGTACCAATTTGATATCCCTGTAAGAATTAATTTAATGGCATTAATAAGGGACCCATTTGATGTATTTTTCTTTGAATCATATCACAGTAAACATGTGAAAAACTAGAGTTCAGTGCCAGTGTGACATTTATTTATTTTTGGTTAATGTCTTGATCCAATGCTTATGTAAATTTAATTGAAGCAGACATTAGGTTACTCAAGTAAGGTGACCAACGCTGCCAGTTACATTGTCCCTCCTTTATCAGGGCTCTCAAAGGGTAATTTTGCAGTGAACTTTTTAATTACTGGATACGATGTATATCTTTAACCTCTATTCAATAAAGAAAGATGTCAGCATCATCTTGTAAATTCCTTGATAATGCAGGGTTTTGAAGGATTGTGTTATTTTTCTTGTTTCTTTTAGCATTTGAAACTCCTGATTGGATTAATTTTAAGGGTACATTTTAGGTTATCTTTAGTCTTAGTTGCTTTGGGCTTAATATAAAGAAAACCCACCCTTTCTGACCATTACAAGCCAGGCTCGTTTTGGTTTTCATGACCAGAGTTGCATCAAATTGATTATTACATTAATACTGATAAAGTTGAATACAACATAACTTTTTTGGTAAGATTCATCGTATATATTATGACTTTTTCCCACTCATACTAGCTAAGCAAATGATAAGATCAATTTGAAAGAGATATATTAAGAGGGGTAGATTCTGTCTATTAAAGTTTGGTCACATGTCTAAGTGAAATAATGAAACAAGAGTAATTTCTTAGAAGATATTGTGGTTTTGCTTCAGCATTCTGAACTATTCTCTCGAGAAGTTTTTTGGTGATTGAACTGAACTCATACCAAATAAATCTAAGGCAGAGTATTTGTTTGAGTACACTGGCATGCTATGGGTGGGAAATAAACATATTTTGTTTGTTTTTGGGCGAAAATGTTCATTATACATTGGATGATATTCAAGTTATTATTTGTATCTGGGATGAGAGAGTGTAGATGAAATATGAATTTCAACCTTCCAATACAGTGCGGATTAAACAAATCATATTTTGAAATTAGAATTTTATATCAAACCACCCAATAACGTAAGGCTACTTGAAAATTTTCATTCATACCTATTTTTCCTTTTCAGTCCTTATTTCCATCCGGAGGCGTCAGTTTGAGCAAGTAAAAGAAACCGTTCCTATAATTCTTAATGTTTTGAAGGCTGTATGTTTGGAGTCAGATGAAGAAGAACTTGATAACGTCTTTGACAGAGCTGTTGAGATTGCAAATTCTATATATGAAGTTTGCGACAAGTTGGTGGTCTGTCTGTTTAAAACATTTCATTCTTTTTTTTTTGTTAGGAGAACATAAATTATTGATTTATTATCCATTTTTTTCATTTTTTTGCTGACATTTTTTCACTTATTCAACAGGATAATGCTGCAAGGGAGAAACTCCGAGCTCTCCTTGGTTTATATGTCCTGCAATGCTTGGTAGTTTCTTTGTACTATACATTTTTTAATTTTTCTTAATTTATTTCTTTCATATCCACTGTAGTAAAATTCATTACTCACATTGTTATCTACTGTAAAATGATTTAATATGTTCTCATACACTGTTCAGGCTCTTGTTTCAGCTAGGATAGACTACAAAGCTTCCGGTTGTCATTCATTAGTATCACAATTATCACGGATTTCATCCTATTGTGGTTTGTCTTATCTCAGTCTAGTAACAACTTATGATGCCGATGCTGTGGCTAGCACTGTTTTTGGAGGTAGTACTCTTGGGTTACTGTGTATGGTCTGCTGTTAATTTTTTTTTAATGTTTACTTAATGCGGTTTACTCCACTTTTTTAATCTGTGTCAATTACCCAGAAAATAAAGATGATTGTATGGGTTGTTTATCTCATGTCAAGCATGGCACTGCTCTATCAGGTTTGTGCTAGGATAATTACTGTTATTAACTCATTGTCTTTTGTTTTATGCATTCATTTTCACTAACCCGTCAAATTCCATTTTCTTTTGTAGTTATTTGGGGGCATGTCTCAGAGGAAGTTGCTCAAGCTGCTAAAGAAGATATGATTGCGGTCAAAGATGAGTTATGTAATAACCAGATCAAAAGGTGGCAAGCAATAGTAGCATTAAAACATGTACTTTCCTTTGTAAGCCTGCCGTGGGAGTTAAAGAAATATACTATCAACTTCTTGCTTTGCATCACAGATGGAGATATTCGTGGAAACTGCGATGATGAACATTCCCAGTGGCCATCTTATATGCCAAATATTTTCTCAGCTCTACAGGTACTGCAGTTCCTGACCTCAGTTTGTTTCTCATTGCTTGATTTTTTACTTTTTCAACCATATGCTGACATGTTCTTCACTTTTGATCACACTATAACCTTTCAGGCTGTTAAAATGGTTATCATGTATGCTCCAGACCCAGAACTTAGAAAAAATTCCTTTGCTGTGTTAAAAGGAGTGAGTTTCTTATACTATTCAAATTCCTTTGCATACAATATCTGATGCACATTACGTGAAATTGAGATATAAGTTAATGTGTAGGGTAGGGTGTATTTTTCTCGATAGCTTTAATGTTATGTGCTCATATTACTCAAAGGTACTCGCTGATATTCCAATTTCTCAAAGACTTGACATCTTGGAAGCATTGATTACAAATACCGACTCTTCCTCCATGGTAAATTCTCTTCTGAGTATTTGTCTTCTCGAGGAGTTTTAGCAGCACCATCTAATCCTCCTTTTTCTACACACACTCTCGTCTTTCCTATTGATAGTCTCGCAATTTTCAAAATGGTTCTCACTAAATCATTGGGTCTTACATAAATTTGGCGGGACTCATAAACTTCAACCAATAGAAAGTATTGAAAAAAGATCGTTAAAAGAATGTTAATAACATACATATTCTCAATCACAGTTTGCATAACTACATTGTTTATTTATTTCACTGTCAGAGTAAAATCATCTAATGGCGATTTTTGCATCTCTGCGTAGATTGCCATTTTGGTCGATCTTGTTCGGAGGGAAATGCACACAGAAATCAACAATAGTACGTCAGTAGTTAAAAGCACCCAACAGATTAATAGCAACGAACATTCAAATATATCATTTTGGACTCCCAGCGTCCTTAAATTTGTGGAGCGGATTCTAAGACCTCCACAGGGAGGACCTCCTTCCCTACCAGATCAGAGTGACGCGGTACTCTTCCTGTTTCATAGTAATCTATAAAATCCTGGTATCTTATAATGCATTTATTTGAAAAGTATTCTGCGTTTTTCTGGTTTCTTTTTTTCGGTTATGCATTGATTCGAAAAGGTTATAGGTCATAGCATTATGTTTACAACCTGCAGGTGTTATCAGCTCTCAACTTATACAGATTTATATTAATGACAGAATCTACAGGTTCGTAACATCAATGACTTATTATCTAAATCCATCAAACGATGGTGATAACTACATTACACGAGTCCTTGTATTATTATTAAGGTTTCACAATAACTTTTTGTAACAGGAAAGACAAACTACTCCGGAGTGTTGTCGAGGAGCAGCTTACTCAAGGTCTACAACGAATGGCTGCTTCCTTTGCGTACCCTAGTGACAGGTATTATGGCCGAGAACAAGAGTGATTATGACGAACTTGCAGTTGACACCGTATGCACCTTAAATCCACTCGAGTTGGTGTTGTATCGGTGCATTGAGCTTGTAGAAGAGAAGCTAAAGCAAGTCACATGAGATTTCTTGTTGGCAAATGTTAGTTTTGAAACATTAAATTAATAATTCAAACCCATAATCTACCTAACATGTGATCACTGTTATTTTTTACTCAATAGTCATATAATGTAATCTCACACAACTTTTCCAGGCACATGATTCTTAACTTCATTGTCTACCCCAACTGCTCTTATATTATATATATAAAGACCACTGCTGTTTACTTATGTTAGATAACATTTTGTTTTTTAGACAATTTGTTCGATTTTTCTAATCCTAGATCTGTGACATTGACGTTTGAGTGTCACTTTTTCCTACCAAATGGAAGAGGAAAATAATGTAGCAAAAGTATTACGCAATTGACTTATTTACATATAGATAGATCTCAAACGTCATTATATACCAACGGCTAAAATTTTATAAATTTTTCTACTTGACATTCTGCCTTACAAACAACATAATAACACAAAATATCCTACCTACGACGCTTTGTCAATTACATTCATGATAATAATGAATGGTTTATTAAAATTTGGACGTTAATGAGTACATAAAGATTCAATAATTGGGGTTACAACTTCATGATTGAGGTAGGAGTTAAGTTATGAAACAACCGCGTTCCTTCTATGGGACTAGACAATTAACATTAACACGAATGTTTTCATAATTGAATTTGAATTTAAAATCTCTTTTTAAGAGATAATGTTTTTGAGTATTACAATGTCTTATTGATAGTTCGATCACTTTAACTTTATTGTATTTATAATCATTTTGTCATTGTATAGAACCTCTTTGTTATAAGTTCTTAAAAATGAGTTCTATAGTGTTAGATGTTTTTGTTAAAAACATTTTAAGAAATAATGAAACAATTCAAATATTCTTATTTGAATATATTTTCATAAAAAAATATTTTTAGTATTTTATTCTTTTTCTATAATTTTTTTATAGTCAAACTTTATAAATTTAAATCTTTTGAATAACTTTTCAAAAAAAGTATATTTTTGAAATATAATTTTTAAAAATAATTTAATTTATTATTTTAAAATATTTAATAATAAATATTTAAGTTACTAGATGTTATAATTATTCTTATAACTAAAAATGATTTTAAAATAACTTAAAAATAGTGTAATTATTCTTTTATACTCTTAATTGGAGGTTGTTCATTACACCATTTATATTTCTCTTAAATCCTATTAAATTTTGAAATTCATCCTTTTTTAATCGTCCAAATAATATAATTCAGACGCACTCTAACCAATAAATACTACATTGTTTATTTGAAATTGTTGAACTATTTGTTTGCAGATTTAATTAGAAAGTGATCAAAACTCATATGTCTATCTCTGATGACATCATGATTTTAATGATGACAAATCCTGACGATGTCACATGCTTTAAAGTGATTTTAATGACAACAACAAACAAGTGCTAGAGCTAGTTTCAATGGTCAAAGATATATAAGATAGTTGATTAAATTATTTCCCTAAATAAAGCTTAAGATTTAGGGTTTGATTATCACCAATGGTATCTTCTAATGATGAAATCTGACTTGAAGACATCTCAAACCTCATCCACAAAAATATCCAAGTGAAGTGATCACATGATTGATATATCCGACTATGGGACTTTAAGCTTTAGAGTGTGAAAGAGAATAAATGTGAAAGCTCAAATGATCGTGTATGTTTGAACGATATATATTTTTTAAAAATACAAAGGTGTTTATTTGCAAATTAGTATGACTAAATCACACACTCACTAAAACTGTTTTTGAAGCATATATTTATAATATCACATATCCTTTTAGATGTTAATTTTCTATTAAGTGGGGCAAATTGAATAATTAGTGAGGTAAGAAAAGCACAATTAAGTCCACTAAAGGACAAAAATCCATTATACATATCATTCCACTTCTCATTTCTTCATTTATTCTCCATTTTGATAGTAAGAGAGAAAGTGAAAAAGAGCTTTAAGGAAGAAGTTGAAGAAATAAGAAGAACAGGGCATCAAAGAAGAAGAAAGGGATTTCACTTCATCTCATCATTAATTCATCATCACCCCTTCTAAGAGGTGAATTCTTAGTAACCATATCTTTTGGGGGAAATTTTACATGAAAATTTGGTTTAGGATTTTGGTAAATTCTTACTTGTTTGTGAAATTGATAAATGAAACATGATTCTTGCTATGTCTTGTTTTATGGTTACTAAATTATGAGGTTATGTGGTGGTGATTCTTGTATGGTTGATGTGTTGTTGTATTGATGTTATGTTCATGTTGTGTGATCATGTGATAAAACTATGTTGTTGTTATTGTTTCTTAATGTTGTGATGTATTGAATATATGAGTTGTGTTGTTATGGTTAGAGTTGAGAAAATCATTCAAACACTTGAGTATCATAACATTTCATCTTGTAAAGATCATGATTTTCCGTTGTGTGATGTTATGGTGTGAAACTTGATCACTGGACTTGTATTGTGTGAAATGGCTGTAAAAATTAGGTTAATTGCAGGTCCTAAAATGTGAAATCACACTTTTGAAATTCTTTTATGGGCTTTGTTTCGAGTACTAATAGCTATTACGAGTACCCATAGCAGATCTCTGATATTTATATGGAGAAAGGGATCTCCTATACTATTTGTCGTAATAGCTATTACGAGTACCCGTAGCAGCCCTCTAATTCACTCATCTTGTGTAGTTTGGACCCTAACTTGAGTTTCGTAACTCATAATAAGACGTGGTTGGATGTGTTGGAAAGTTATTTCAATGTTCTAACACATGGTGAAGTAAAATCATGCTTGTATGCCTTATTTCTAGTAATAAGCTTAGAATTTAATGAATTCTAGTTGTATGATAGATGGTGTGACAACATGTTCGAATGTTCTATTCATGATTAAGATGACTAAGTTATCATGTGAATTACTCATTGGATTACTTAGTGTAAAGTTATGTAATAGTATGAGAGATGTCATATCATGCATATATGTTGAATCCTTCTTAAACCCTAATTAATCAAATTTTATAATAATGAATCAGTTTAAACCTCAGATCTTAGTTAGGTTTATATTGTGATGCTCGGTTATGAAAGGTACCTCTGTGTATACCCATGAGCGAGTAGTCATGTGAGATAAATTGTTCCATCTACGAGAGTACTTGAATGACATGGTTGGTGAATGATAGTCTAGTTGCACATTAATGGGATTTGTATGGAAAGATATAATGATATTCTAATTGATGATAATAATCATGTATTTGTGAATAACCCCATATTCGTGCTTGTCCTGAGTCTGATTCTTGTGTAAAGTTAAGTAGCAATCAAGATAGACGGGTCATTGAGATGGATATCGTGACCCGTGTCTTGACCCATGTAAGAGATTTTTTGTAATACCTCATATTCCCATAAATGCTCAATTGAATATCAGTTGAGATCAACTGAGTTCCATTATACTCTATTTGTTGTCAGTTGGAACAATTAGAGCTCCTAAGTACTCAGAGTGTTGTCAATTGAGATCAATAAAGTAACTAGTGAACTCTGAGGAGATCAATTATTGATGAAAGGGACAGGCCAATATTAATAAGTATAATAGATGACATTTTGATAACTCTAATATTTGGTCAATTGGTGTTAGATGACAAAATATCAAATACATATATTTTACATTATTATATGCGTGTGTGTGTGTGTGTGTGTGTGTGTGTGTGTGTGTGTGTGTGTGTGTTATGTATATTTTGATGAGAAAGAAGAAGAAAGAAAAAGATAGTAAGATAAAGAAAGAAAGGAAGAGGAAAATAGAAGAGAAAGGGAAAGAAGATAGGAAGAACTCTTGGGAGAGAAAGGAAGATCCATGGGTTCACCATCTTCATCATCAATTCATTTTCTTCTTCGATAAGGTGACTTTCATAGTTAGTCCTAACTTTTGGAGGGGAACAAATACATGTATTGGGGATTTAGGTTTTGTATGAAAAACATGTTTAAGTGTGGATTGAAGGCTAATATTTGACTATCTTGAAGTATTACATGTTATATTATGTTAATCCATGTTTACTTAGGTTTTTGGATGCTAAGTGGGCATGTGGGTGTGAAGGTTTGGCCATGGATGACCTCTTGTTCACATTCTGCAAAATCCGAGTTCTGCTTGAGTTGTTGTGCGAGCTCAAGGCGAGTTGCTCGTTGGTTGGATGCAAAGCAACCATAACCTAATTTTTCTTATACCTCTTCTTCGCCGTGGTTTGCTGTGCAAACTGAAAATGAACAGCCTCGCTTTGAGGTCGCTGTGCGACCATAGCAGAATTCTGTTTTCCCGTTTCTTGTTTCCTTCATAGCTTTTGAATCGTAACTCGGATCGAGGCACGGTCGAAAGCGTTGGAAAGTAATTCCAATGCTCCACGTCAATAGTATTGAATGAAAATATTTGTGGAATAATGTGTAAATGGGTGAAGATGATCACCTTATGTTGTGATGAATACCATGAGAATAAGTTGATAATTGGTGAGGGGGTTGGCTCCGAAAGACCTAACTATTTATGTGATCACAAATTAATCGAGAAAATCGGTAGAAGAATGTTGATTTTGTGCCTTACGAGTGATATTTATGCTTGAAGTGTTATGCTATGCTACTATACTTGTTATGCTATATATGTATATTGATTGAATGTTTGACTTTGTGATAACATGCTTAAAATACTATAGGAATGGTGAGGAAACCGTTGGTATTCATTAATGGAATGAATTAGTAAGGTGATTAGGATGTGATGAATAACATAGATGGCAATGCTTGTGCAATAATGCCTAGGTGTGCATCACTGGCAAGTAGTTGTCTAGTTGTGAGGAGAGATTTGCATGAAACATGCGTGGTTTTATGTTACTTGTGATTAAGGTGAATGGAATCACCTTGTGATTGTCGAATACAATCACATTGTGCTGTGTTTTATCACGTCGTCAGAAACAACCCTTGACTCGTGTCGTCCCAAGAGTTGATGCTTATGTAGAGCTCTTTTGGGATGTATGCACCATTATTTTGGCAGGAGTTCCCTTAAATAAATAGAGCCTACGGGTAAGAGACTTGAGATGGGGGTGGTCCCATGGGAAGTGATGATTCATGTGGGAAGAAACTTGAATCTGAATCCATTCATTTATCCCGTGTGTATGGATGGAGCCTACGGGTAAGAGACTTGAGATAGGGGTGGTCCCATGGGAATTGACAATTCATGTGGAAAACACCTTGAATATGAATCCATTCATATGTCAAAGTATGTTAAAAGGATCCGTGACCCACGCTAAAAGTCTTAGATGTTGGTGAGACGACAAGGACGTTTACCTTGGTACTGTTTCTGATTAGTGATCTTTTGAGTTGATGAACTCAAGGAACATGTCTCCATACATTACGAATTGTGTGAACTCAAGTCTTATCTCCTTTTCCTTTTGACTTGAGTTAGATTAGATTAGAACCTTGTAGAGCCGGGTGAACCCATAAGACAGGGGAACTCACTGAGATTATTATCTCACCCCATTATTGTTGTTGTTTTTCAGGTATTATTTGCAGGTTAGTTTAGAAGTGGATTTACGCATGAATGTTTCAAGAGAAGCTTAGGTTATGCTTTCCGCTGTGTATTATGTATCTTGTACAATGATGAATATTATACTCTGATCTTAGATTTTATTGTTTGACACTTTCCATATTTTGTATTATATGTTGTTTTATTGTTTAGAAATGGTCAAGTATGTAAAGGTTGTTAATAGACACTTACAATTGTGTCAGTATCAAAGGATAACACTCATATGATATGATTCTAGATATATATTATACAGGGTGTTACATATTTATCGGTGAAAGTAATTTGATTATCGTGGGAAATATGTGACCTGTGTCTTAGCCTATGTGAGAGGCGCTTGTCAGAGAAAGACATTCCTCATTGAGCGGACATTCGTGACCCGTGTTGTAACACCTCATTTTTTTTGCTTAATTATTTAATTAAGTTAACTTGTGCATTTGAGTAATTTAGCATGATTATATGACTTTACATTTAAATTGAATATTTACTTTATGGGTGTGAGTGTAGTGAGATGGTTGGGAAGAATAGAGTAGTATGATAATATTGTAGAAGTGGTAGAATAATTAAAATAATAATGTTTTGATTATTAAATGAAATAATATGAGTAGTAGCATTTTTAGTGAATTTAATTATTTTGTTATAAGAGATAAAATAAATAAGAATGAAGTAATTAAATATAGAAAAGTGTGACTTTATGATAGAAATTATTTAATTGATTACTTAATAGAGAAAATAGGAGTTAGTAGAGAAATAAGGGGTAATGAGATATTTAGGAGAATAAGTTTGGAGTTAATGAGGTAATTAGAAGAGATTATGTAAAAAATCCTAAATATATATTCTAAAAGTTGAAGGAGCATTAAGTTTCATTCAATTCTTAGAGAACTTGAGAGAAAGGCAATAGGAGAACCTTAGAGTTAGAAGAAGAGAGGAAAATCATTGGAGAAGAGCTTGCTTGTTGGAATTTTAAGGTAAGGGGGGAGAATAACTTTCAACGGGGCTTGCGCATGAGGGGTAGGGTAAAGAAGTCCTTAACCTCCAATAGGACATTGAGTTTTGATTTAATTCAGTAAATTGGTATTGATTTGACGAAATATGTTATGATTATTGGTGAAATTCAAGTACTTTAGTTAATGATAATTTATGTTTTGATGTGTTAATATGTTTTCACCATTGTTGAGGTTTTGGAGCTTTGGGAATAAATGTGAAAGTATGAAAATACATGGTTTTGTGTTTTTAATCATTGGACAATTGTTTTTATTTGATAAAGTGTTACAACCAGGCATGTATGTTTTGAAAAGAGAATGTATGACATCTTATTTGATTGTGCGAATACTCTGATCTTAAGGTATAATCATGTGCGGGGGAAATATGGTGTTACCCATGTCCCATTTCCAAGATGTAGGAAAGGCCGTGAAAAGTTGATCGATATGACAGAGATATGTGACCTGCGTCCATAGTCCTAAACGTGGGATCGGTCGGGGAAAGATAGGGTTGTCTCAACCAATATTGATGGCTAAAGCGAAATCTAAGATTTTGACCTTTATAAAATTATTATTTTTAGATAAATAGTTTAAATAAATTTCATTTTTCGAGCTTTTTGAGATGAAAAGTTATTTATTAAATTATCATAATCGATTTTTTGTAAGATTTCTAATTCAATAGATAATAAAGTCAACTCATTTAATCTTTGATGGGACATTGTTGATCTTATATATGACTTTTTTAATTTTAATTTTGAAAAACTACGTTCTACAAAAGCAACACTTACCGGAATTGTTAACATTATTCTGTAAGCAATATACGCATTTGAGAAATAATCAATCTTTTACATAATTAATCATGTTAATTGGTGTATCATTTTTTATATGTATAATTTATTTTAAGATGTTAAGCTCGGTAAATAAATCCAATCCATCAATATCTGAGTTTTCATTATGTTTTAATGAACATTCAAGATTAAAACTATATTCTTTTAACTTTTCATTATCTAATGACCTTATTTTCTGAATGCTAAAAAGATATCCAAAAATATCATTATAGAATTTTAATTATTCAAACCTATTTTGAAATGAAGTAATTGTTTTATTTCCTATGTATAAAAAACAATCAGTTTTAAATTATTCTTCAGGAAATTTAACAACTTTATTATCGATTTTTATAGTATTATATATTTTTGTTAACTTTTCTTTACAAGTGAATTTTTATAAAAAAAACATCAAAGAAAAAATTGGTTTAAATATTTATTCATAAAATATTATTTTACATATTTCATAGTTATATAATAAATTTTTTGAATATCAAAATTTTAAAAAATCACTTATATTTAAAATTATTTTAAATAATTTTTCATAAAAATCATTTTTAAGAAATATCTTTTTAAAAAAAATTATGATTTTAACTATGTTTACATTTTTAATAATATATATTTATGCTACGGAATGTCAATTAATTTTTAATTTATAAAAAAAGAGTTTAAGTTTTTATTTTTATTTAAAATTTTTTTATAAATTTTTTTTAAAAAAAAATTAAAAACTAAAATAAACGGACTTAATATTATTGCAACACCTTTAAGTTTCGAAGAGAGATTTTTCATTTGAGATAATAATTTTTTAATTAATAACTTCATATTATGTTTATTGAGAAAAAAATGTAACTCCATGAATCACAGTTGTTGTCACTTAAAAAAAGGTTTAGAAGAACCGCGTTTGAATTTTTTAAAAGATGGATTTAATATTTGTAGTCGAATGTTGAAGAAATATCTTAATTACGAGAATTCTCCATCATTGAAGAATAATTAAAAAAAAATTTTAATTTTAAAGAATTAAATCTTTCATATATAAAAAAAAAAATCTACTACTAATATCATTGAACTTAAATATAATTGTAAAATGATAAGTAAATAACCATTGAACTTCTTCTCAAAAAAAAAACCATTGAACTTAGATTTTTTTTAGTGGATTGATTGAAAAAAATGCACAAGTGAACATCATTTTCTTGCCGTTGCCATAATCCTAATATTAAATTTCAGCTGTCAATTGTTGTCACGGTCCCCTTTTTGCTATAGCTGAGAAAATGATAGAAACAATACACTTTTTAATTCACAACAAAAACTGAAAAATGATAAAGACAATAAGACACATTGCACAAAAGTAGCTCAAAAGGAATTTTAATTACTCTTCCTTTTTTACATTCTTTTCAATCACTTCAATTCATAACAATAAAACAATGCCACAAAAAGTTCAAATTAGGTGAATAATTATAATAATAATGATAAAATACTTTTAAATTTTAATAATATTATTATATTATTATTATTATTAGTCAAAAATCCTTTTCCAACAAATGTCTAAAAGTTACCAAAAAAAATAACACACATTCACTTTCAATGACTCACAAACTCTAAGCTCTCTCTCTCTCTCTCTCTCTCTCTCTCTCTCTCTCTCTCTCTCTCTCTCTCTCTCTCTCTCTCTCTCTCTCTCTCTCTCTCTCTGTGCGTGTGTGTGTTCCTTTTCATGCTTCATCTATACATTAGTTTTTGTCTTTGATTGAATCTTTATCTTCATGTTTGAATAAAAACAGAGAAACAAAACAATGACAATGAAGCTTCTTATCATGTTTATCATGTTTCATGTGTTCATCCTTATTCTTCACAAACCCATTTTGATTCTTGCTTCAGTTGTTCCCTCACCTCAAGTTTCACCTTTTCCTCCAATTCTCCCTTCAATGACAATCATTGCTTCTGCTCCAGGTCTTGAAAAATCATTTCTTGAACTTAATGCTAATAATGTACTATGATGTTTTTTCTTATCTTCTTCTCATTATTTGGATAATTGGATCCTACCCTTTTTCTTAAACTTTCTTATCTTGCTAATAATAGTTGGGAAATTGATAAAGTTTTGATTTTTAGGTATTCATGTGGGAAATGAAGAGGAAAAAATGGATTCACACAACAAAAAGGTGAGAGCTTTTGTGGTAGCTAGTACTGCACTTAGTGCTATCATTTTGTGTCTGTTAAGCTTCTGGATTTACTACATAAATGCTTCAAAACCCAACAGAAAGAAGAACCTTCAAACCTCAGGTATTTTTTAGTAGTCCATTCAAGAAACTTCTAAAAAAAACAGTACTTTTTTGCTTGGTACTAATGTTTGAGAATTTGTTGTTTTTTGAATGGCTAGATTCTGAGAAAGGGCTTGGTTTTGCACCAAATTCTGTGAAGAAGGTTGGTAAGAAAGGGTGTGTTCCAATCATTGACTATGAGCAAATAGAAAAAGGCACTGAAAATTTCAAGGAAAGTAACATCTTAGGTGAGGGTGGTTTTGGATGTGTTTACAAGGCTAGTTTGGATGATAATTTGGTGGTTGCAATCAAGAGGTTGAACTGTGAATGTCAATATGCAGAAAGAGAGTATGAGGTAATTTAATTTGTTTCTGCTTATAATTTGTTCATATTTGTTATAAGAAGTTGTGTTGATTATGAACAGTTGGATGAGTTTGCAGAATGAGGTGGAATTGTTAAGTGAAATTCAACATCCAAATGTAATTTCTCTACTTGGTTGTGGAAGTCATGAGGATTCAAGGTTTATTATCTATGAGTTGATGCAAAATGGATCATTGGAAACTCAATTACATGGTAAAAAAAATATTGTTTATAGTAATGTTTTTATTTGATTAAAATAAGTAACACTAGTAATCACTTATTTTCCAAATTTTGATCATGTGAAGGACCTTCTCATGGCTCTGCATTGACTTGGCATATGAGAATGAAGATTGCTCTTGACACAGCAAGGTATTTGACCTCTCTGGAGCAACGACACCTCTAAAAAAAACGAGTCTATGTCAGTGTCATTGTCGGACACCGAGACGACATTGCTTTCTATTGTATTTTTCTTAAGATATGCTAGTATTGATGAATGTTAAATTGTTAATCAGAGGCTTAAAGTATCTGCATGAGCACTGTTACCCTGCAGTGATCCATAGAGATCTGAAATCTTCTAATATTCTCTTAGATGCAAACTTCAATGCCAAGGTAAAGGGAAAAAAATACCATGTTGAAGATGATGTTTTCATTTATTGCTATAAATTTATTGTTTTCACATTTTTCTCTCTCTCTGTGTGACTCTATATCACTTGGTGGTGGATTCAGCTTTCTGATTTTGGTCTTGCAATAATTGATGGGTCCCAAAACAAGAATAACATCAAGCTTTCAGGGACATTGGGGTATGTAGCACCAGAGTATCTTTTAGATGGTATGACAACTCAACTTGGTACAATTTCAATGCTGCATATGCATTGCTCACACAACTTGATCTATAATTGATTAATTAATAGTATTATTATATAGTTAAATTAATTTCAACTGACCAGATCCAAGATGTTGCTTTTTGTCAGTGATAACATGATATATTAATATTAATAGTCACAATAATAATACTAATAATGAAGAAAAATAAACAATATCTTGAGAGTAGGGACTAAAATTTGTTCATAATACTACTGTGACAGCATGCAACAGTGAAGTGGAATTGATTCTTGTCTGAAAGATAGGAAACATTGAAGGGTTTTTCCTAGATCAATTATTCAGTTGAAACTTAATTTTAATTTCTAAGAGATTTTTTATGAATCACATCTGCAATGATTTTTGGAGAACATGGAGAAGAAAAACATGAATCAAATTGTATTTACAGGTAAATTGACTGATAAAAGTGATGTATATGCTTTTGGAGTTGTGCTTCTTGAGCTTCTATTAGGAAGAAAGCCTGTGGAAAAACTGAGTTCATCTCAATGCCAATCTATTGTCACATGGGTATGAATTGTTTGATCAAATTAGATCATAGGGTTAATATGAGAAATGAATGAAAATAAGTGATTTTCTGATGTTTGCAGGCAATGCCGCAGCTCACAGACAGATCTAAACTTCCAAACATTGTGGATAATGTGATTAAGAATACAATGGATCCTAAGCACTTATTCCAGGTTTGAGAATCAAAGAGTTCACTCTGACTCTACAATGTTTCTGCAGCATGTTATTCTGCTTAACTGCTACCTGAACTTTATGTACTTTATAGGTTGCTGCTGTGGCTGTGTTATGCATACAACCAGAGCCATGTTACCGCCCGTTGATTGCAGATGTTTTACATTCCCTTATCCCTCTTGTACCTGTAGAGCTAGGAGGAACTCTCAGAGGTTCACAAGTGACACATCAACCTCCAAATTATAGTTAACATAGTAACCATCGATTTCAGACAACATTCTTGCTTTGAGAATCGAGGCCATGTTTTCATGATGCTGCCAAACCAGTGATGCTTTCTCGAAGGTCGGATTTGCAGACAGATTCATAACCACATTGTTCATGTAATAATACATGTGGTCTAGGGGTTTTGGCAATGAAGCATAGACACATTCATGAGGAAAAGGGTTAGGCCTAAATGATTGAAGACCTTGGGATTGTTAATGATAAATGCAAAGAATTTAATTTCGATTTCATGAAAATAGTTGTGTATAGTGCAGTGATTTTGTGGAACAATGTATTGGTCAGAAGGGATCTGATATTATCTTTTACTATCTCTTTTGACGGTATGTAATTCAATAAACCAGGTTACAAATACTTCATAGAGAAACTGTTATTCTGCTAAGATCGCTTGTTTTGCGTGATCTAATATCATTAAACCGGTCGTCAATTCTGTTAAGAAACTCGTGCATGATCCATGTGATGTGATTCCAATTGGATTTGACAAATTATGTGAACAGCTGTTTAGTACCCCTGATATGGGCTAACAAAAAACCCGGCTTCTATGCAGTCGAGGAAATCACACATTCCGTGAATGTGTGTTTCCCTTGACGGTAGGGATATAAATCCCTTTCAATGCGAGTGACTAATTTATGTTTACGGAAAGCCTCACGTGTTTCGACCCATGTCATCTATCGGTGTTGGTGTTGGCAATTTAGAAGAACCAAAAATGTTAACTGATTGACTGCAGTAGAGTTACAACAATAACAAAAATACTATAAATGTATACAGCAACACTTTGATTCAACTTATTCAAGGTTACAACAGAATTCCCAAAGGGACTATCAGGTACACATATGTATGACAATCAATGCATACATAATAGAATTATTGTCATGTGCCGATACCTATGATTTGGTATAATACTCACCAAAAATATATGCTTGCTTCAAAAGCACGTCTCACCGAGTTTCAGCTGACATTATGATAAGAATCGATAATAGCATCTGCAAGGTATTCACATTTGGCCAGCGACAATCCTGCCAGGGAAATCCTTCCATCCTTTGTCATGTATATATGCCACTTATTTGTCATATTGTCACTCTAATAAGATGAAAGATACAACAAAGTCAACATTGCAATACATTAAACACAAATCACATACGCATTTTACATAGATAGAGTCGAAGAAATAGGACTAAAGATAATGAATAAAAGCCATAAGTTGATCAAATGAAAGAAGTCAATAACCTGGTTCTTGTTCAAGCCTGTGAATGAGAACATGCCTATCTGCTTAAGTATGAACGACCAATCCTTTCCACTTTTGTCTTTTGAAGAAATACTATCATATAGCTTCTGTCGAACAGTTTTTATCCTTCCAGCCATCATTTCCATTTCTGCCTTCCATTCACCGAAGAGAGTTGGATCCCCAACAATATTAGCAACAATTCTAGCCCCGTGAACAGGTGGATTGGAGTACATTGGTCGAGCAAGCCTTTTCAATTGGCTCTTCACCCTGAAATACGTAGTTATCAAATTGTTGATCAAGACAGAATGTTTACCGTGGCTTATATTGCGTGGTCAAGTTGAATATAGATTATAGGTGCTCGTGTATTAGATGAGAGAGCTTTCAAAGAAGTCAATTTGTAAAAGTTCATTTCAATTTTTTCAGGAAGTGATTATCAAAGAGACTTGGCGATTACAAGATTATTTCAACTGTTCTGTACCTACAAATGCTTATTGTGAAGATTATTTGGAATGACTCTTGATAAAGTGAACTATTAACTTTTCTAGAAAATGAATCAAAATGCTTGAAAAGAGAAGAGTAGACAAATTCAATCTTTTCTTAAAAGTGTGCATTCAATTTCAAATATGAGAAAGCACCGCGCAATTTACAGTACCTTACTGCAGATTCTGGTGATGAGGAAATGACATTGATAGCTCCAACCCTTTCGGCATAAAGACCGAGATTTTTACTGTATGACTGAGCTACAAAAACCTCCATGCCACGTGACACAAACAATCTCACAGATGCTGCATCTTCATCAAGGCTTCCACTAGCAAACCCCTGAAATTTTCAACACAGCTTAGTATATCGTAAAATATATTCAAGGTTACTGCTCGATATCTACCAGTTCAAGTTGCATCCATATCATTCGTTGTACAGTTTATTTATCATAGTTTCAATCATGTTGCTGGTGTTCTAACGTGCTGTCCAGAAATTTACTAAAATGATAGCTCGTATACCAAAAGATTGTGTACCTGATAAGCAACATCAAAAAAGGGAAAGTGGTTCTTTTGTTGAATCACATCAGCTATTTTTTCCCACTGTTCTGGTGTTGGATCAATACCAGTAGGGTTATGAGCACATCCATGAAGTAACACAAAAGTTCCTTCGGGAGCTGACTATAAAAACGGCAAACAGGTAAAATTAGATAGAGTTCGATATTATTTAGAATTGAATGAATATTTTCTTCAGGATGTTTACCTTGATATCTTCTATCATGCCCTCAAAATCCAATCCAACTGTCTTGGGATCATAGTATCGGTACTCAGACCATGGTACTCTGGCGTCGTTGAAAATATTCTTGTGATTACCTACAAAATAATGTTCACTATGATATATGAATTCCCTCGAAACATGTATATGACCAAATTAAACAGAGAAAGGAAAAAATGCACACCCCACGTAGGATTTGATATCAAAACTTTTGCCTCGGGGAAGTATCGTTCTATGAAAGCTGCACCAAGTCGCAGAGAACCAGTTCCGGAAAGACCTTGGACAGTGGCAACCTGGGTGCCAATCGAATAATGCAAGCAAAAAATTAAAAGAAAAGAATAAAAAAAATGATTTCTTTCTGTGCTCACAGTTGATAAATGTCATATCCTTCAAAACAATTATATTCTCTAAATAGAGTGCATACTCTTTGTTGTTTGATTGCTGGATTGTCTGCTCCGAGTAACAATTCTGCAGTTGCCTTGTTAAATGCAGCCAAACCTTCAATAGGGAGATACTGCATTTCCAACATAAATCGCATTCAACAATCGAAAAGCTGACAGTTTTAAGCCACAAATAATCACATACAACCTAAAGAAAATTACCTCTTTGTTTTCCCCTCTCTCCAGCATAAGATTCTCTGCCTAAAAAACAAGTATTTCATCAAAATCAATATTGACTAAATCGAAAAAAAAGTCATCAGGTTTGTGAACAAAAAGTTAAACCAGAAATCAATACATGACATGGATAACACGCAAACTATGAAAAAATAAAATAAAAAATAAAAAATCATAGCATCAAATACCTTTTTCACAACATTAAGCACATACGGCTGTAGTTCTTCCGTTCGATACGCTCCAACTCCAAGATTGAGCTTAACATCGCTCGTATCTGCTCTAAATGCTTCAGAAACTCCAAGAATCGGATCAGGAGGAGCCATCGGTATACCCTCAAACCGAGAAACATTAACCGCAGCAACCATAGAGATCCGACCAGAAGACTGAATTAACAAAAATCAACATAAATAAGATAAGAACACACACACAATCACACAATGAAAATGATCAGAGTACTAGCCACTATCCACCTCATAATTAACAACTTTCAATTGCAATTTTAAAACTTTTCTTCAATCAATCAATACTCAATAATAGTCCTACTCAATTGACCCTAAAGTAAAAACATCTTTAAAAAAAATTGAAAATTGAAATGATAATAAGCTTAGTTACTGATGAACAAACACTACACACACCCTTGTTGGTTCCTACCTTGCTAAAGCTCAAACCGTTGATTCCAAAATTGATCTTTCCCTGTTGAAAAACAAAACTTTATAATTGAGTAAATCATATAAAAGGGTAACGATTGAATCAGGTGTGAAGAGTGAGAAAGAGTTACCTTGATGGTGGAATCATGCAATGGAAGTGAAGCAGAGTGTGAAGCTACAGAGAGTACGGAAGAAGCCATTTTTTCTGCAGAGAAGAAAACACAAACCAACAGAGAAATGCAGAAATTGTTGATTTTGTTTTTGTAGTAACGATTTGGGATGAGACGAAACGAGTGATAGTGAAACCGCGGATACTATGGGCTACGACAACTACGATGTGATTTTATAGACGACAATGTTTTGAGATTACTTTTTAAGAATAAAATAGAATTTCTTATCTCATGAAAATCTAACATATCTCGAGATGTATTTTTAGAGGCTTTTAATTTAAATTCAAAATGTTAATCGATTCCAATATATATTTCTAAAATATTTTAACACATATCTCATGCATTCATCTCTTACAGATTTATTTTACATGTTTATTGTTTTAGAGATGCATCTCGTTTAGGATATACGAAGATGCATGATATGTTAAGTTTATGATTATTTAGATGAAAATGACGATTTATAAATATTATGGACTATATTATGTCTTGCATTAAACCATATAATGCAAAAAATAACATATAAATCTAGATGATCAAAAAATTAAAAATAAAAATGAAGTCGAAATACACAACAAAGTAGAATAAAGTCAAAATAAAATACAATCGATTATAATATATGTGACACCCTGAATAACCACCTGACGTACCTGTCGACATAACTTTAATCGCTCTCAACTATGATACTTAGTGTCTACTCCGGTACCAGATGACTAAGATAAACATCAAACATGGCATCCATGTATCTACATGTCATAACATGAGGAGCGCAGACAACAAGGTAAGGTGTATGGGAATAGTCTGAGTGTAGTCAAACTGTCGCATGACGCGCTCGGGTAGATGAGGAAATATCAGACGTGAACCGTGAGTCAACCATTCTGAGTATAACATTATATCGTCAAATAAACGTGTCTCACGGTGATCAATATAGATGTTAAAATGCATATTTTCGGCAACTAAGCGGTCAAGATACACTATGAACTGCTCTATCGCCTGGTTCCCTTTGAATGAGGCAAATGCAGAAGCGTGCAGCATATCCTCGGTATAAGTTGGTACACACGACCAATCGGAGTTGTGCGGGAAGTGTTGGAACACACGAATCATCAATAAAGGTGTTGCAAAAATGTAATAAAAATGACACACAAACATTAAAAAGTCAATAAATGTTAATAGTGTGATGCTGCTTGTGACTTGTTTCATCTTCCACGTACAACCCTCTAATAACTTCAAGTACAAGTAGACCAAATAAGCGGCCCCCCAATTGTACTCATGGATCCGCTAGAAGTCCTCAAAGTATTGTAGGTAAAAGACATCCAGATAAGTGACACTCTTGTCCATAAAAATCATAGTGTCAAACAAATATAGCATGTATACTCTCATAATATATGCTCTATGGAGCCCCGTCTGGTCGTCATCACCTCTAGCATGTTCTACTCTACAAAGCTCATCTGTATACCTTTTTCATGAATTTAAACCTAATATGAGCCCCTATGGTTTTTTCAAACTCCTTCGTGGCATCCTCTGGGTAAACTCCCAGATAGTTTATCGTCAACTCGAGTGCCTCGTCTTTACTAATCCACTCATAATCTAGAAGTTTCCCCCTAATCGGAAGATGCAACACAAACGACACATCGTCGAATGTAATACACATCTCACCAAGCGTTAGATGAAATGATGACATCTCAACGTGTCATCTCTGCATGAATGCATTAAGCATCATGTGGTTAACCGTAACATAATCGGTCTTGCACAAGTTTTTCATTCTAGATAGAGATAAACAGTTTAAAACCACTCGTCATTAGGCTTAGGCAAGTCGGTAATCTTCCGCCCATGGCTAACAAACTTCATAGGATCACGATCCTGCAGAAAAATAAATTTATGTCGAAAATTGTAATATAATAATAAAAATATTTAAAAAAGAATGAATCCAACTAACTTATCACTATGTCCCAAATATGTCCGGCAGCATGGTCCGGGTACAGAGGCAGCAACGACAACTCTACTGGGTATCTTCAAATGCTTAAGGTGGCACTGGCTCATTAATCTCAACAACCTAAGATGGCCCTGGCTCAACAACCTCATCAGTCAGAGGTGGAACTGGCTCATTAGCATGAGGTACATCCGATGCCTGGGGTGGCACTGATGCGTTAAGTACCACTGATGACTCGGGTACCTCTGGCGCTTGAATAGGTGAAACCTATCGCCTACGGGAGGATGAAGGCAGTCATGCGTCAGTATGTGACACTTATCTCCTACGAGAAGAAGAAATATAGATAAGCATGAGCCTCAAAAATCGATGCATCCGCATGAACCAGGCTAGAGTGAGCAGAAGCCTCTAAAACCTGACTCTTCTCCCTCTAGACAGATGCATGATGTGCAATTCTCTCGTGCCTCAGACTAACGTCTTTATCAGCTATAATGCTTGTAAGTAAACCATACAAGTGTCAGACAATTAGTACAAGCAACCCTATAAGTAAGAAAAGCAAAAAACAGACAGATAAATGACGGATATGAATCTCCGATTCTTGGGAGTTTATACGTTGGAAATTTTTTGGAGATGCATCTTTAAAATTTCCTGCAATTCTTCAGGTCCATCAATGGCGGTAATGCAAACCACCAAACCCTAAAATAATTATCAAAGCATTATTTTTAACTATCAAACAAGTTTTACAGTATGTGTAAGTTATTATTCATGTGAATTCTACTCGTTTCTCACATAAATCATCAATTTCTACTCATTTATACAAAAATTCAAAAAACTTTTCAAAAAATAAAAAACTTACAAATCAAGAGTTTACTTCAGTGTTGAATAATGTACTTGATGTTGATGGAAGAAACGTTGAACTTGGTTTATTGATTTTAAAAGAATGTGAGTTGGTAGAGTTTGAGAAATTTTTTAGTGTTTTTTTATAAATGATGAAGGATAAGAGTTCTATCGCGTTTTATAACCAATACCGTTCAGAGATGCATCTTCGAAATATTTATGAAGATGCAACTTTGGAATGTTTTAATGTTAAGTCAAAATTCTATTTATTCAGGGTGCGTCCGAAAATATATTTCCACAAATTAAAAATATTTTTATATTTTCACGTGGTGCCCTAATAATACATAGAGTGCATTAAAAAATTCTCTAATAAAATAACCATTCTTGTATAAAAAAATTACATTGAAAAAGCCCACCTATTTCATTAACAACTAGAAACTATATATAGAAAATTTACATTTTTAATTGATTTTACAAAAACAAGATAGGAAGTATGTGATAATAAAGATAATTGTTCCAATATTTAGTATCACTCTAGTAAATTTATGAGTAGAGCCAACAAGAATGTAATAATTTTAAAATAATTTGAAATTTGATTTTATAATTAGTTCATAAATTAAATGGATTAAACTTAATTTCAAAACTAAATTTATAAGACAAATTAGTTTATATGTTATCATCGAAATAGAGGTGGTGGGACTAACATGTCCTCAATTTTCTTAGATGTGAATAACAATTTCTATTTCGATCATGATGAGACCAACGATGAGCTAAATGTACAATAAAAATTCATTGTTGCCTTTTAGATAATCGCCTCCATCGATACCTTTTAACCCTAATAAGTCAATTGATGTTTTCAAATTTCACACTTGCCATCATGAAGGATCAACAAGTGTTATTCATCATCTATTAACTCTAGGCTTATGATACTTTGACCATGTACTTCTTTGGCTACTTAAAGAACAACTTTATGCATTGTTTTTACATTATGAGTTTTCCTCATATGAAGTAGATAACTTGTTCTTACTATAGTCCTTACATTATGAGTTTTCCTCATATGAAGTAGATAACTTGTTCTTACTATAGTCCTAAAGTGGTGATTTACCATAACCAAGTCGAATGCTTTGTCTTATGCCTTTATCAATTTAGGCGACAATATCTTCTTTTTGCCATGGTCTTGGATTTTAGCAGTGAGATGAAAAGCTTGTTTCATTTTCAATATATATGGGCTTCTTTGTTGTATTTTATTATGCATCTCAATTATATGGATTATGTGACCATTTAATAGTCGATTATGTTTATCTCTAAGTAGATGATCAAATGCTTGATTCTTTTTTGACCAAGTGTTGCCTTTCCCTTTATCAACTGCTAGTATATTCGTTTTGGCATTGAAGGACATATCAATGCAGATTCCTCCATATCAATGATGGAAACATATGTTTATCCTTATTGTGATTTTAATGATGTCTTGAACTCAGATAATCGTTATTCCCTCTTTCTCATGCTTGAATCGTGTTATGATGTTGTATGCCCGAGTACAACCTTACTCTAATTATGCCTTAGCGTTGTTTGACCCACCTTGACCTCAAGTTTTCGTTATTTAGGTGTGTTCTTACTAGTGTATTAGGTCTTTTTAGTCGGTTATTGACTAAGAAATCTCTGTAATAAAAACATAATAAATATGAGAGAAACATAGTGTTAGGTAAAAGAATGTATTCCTTCCGGTCTCACATTGGGTAATGGGGAGAAAAAAAATTGGAGAATTAATAAAAATAAAAATAGTTAGTTTGTGTTTCTCATCACAATAGAATGTAGCCTTATGAGTGTGATGAGGTTTTGGTAGTTGTGTGTCATGTGAGAGTTTAGAGAGTTTGTAATTTTTTTGCCCAAAAATTATTGTTGATAGGGTTTGCAATTTCTCCGTCCAAAAATTGTTGTTGAGAGGATTTGTAATTTTTTAGCCCAAAAGTTGTAGTTAGGAGGGTTTATAATTTTTCTGTTCAAAAATTGTACTTTGAAGGGTTTACAATTTTCTTCTGAAAATTTCAAATGAGAGAGTTTATAATTTTGTCCTTGTAAAAATTAGAAGTTGAATAATAAATTTCTAAGTTTTATTTTTGAATGTTTTTTTTGCTTTTTTTTTCTTCTTTTTTGGGTTTCTCTCGTGGGTGTGCTTCCTCGTGGACAAAGATTTGTATTTTTGCTACTTTCCCAACAACACGGATGGGTCATCATGAGGGAAAACATGTACATTGGATCAAAGACTTAC